GCGCCGACTCGGGGCGCGCTTCGGCGGGGCGGCCGGTCCTCGGGCAGCTAGCGGGCTCTAATTACCCGCTTGTCCGGCTCTTAACCTAGATTGCACTCAGCTAGAATTACATTCAGGAGTGAAGCACTTCGCAGATACAAAAGCAGTCTCACCTACTTTTGTGCCTCAGAATTGCAAGGAACTACGAACTGCAATTTAGAGAGAGAGAGAGGGAGAGGGAGAGAGAAGGGGGAAAAGAGGATCAGAGCCGTTTCTTTGATTCTCACCTTCTAAATGGCTCAATTTGCCCAGTATAATCTGTCTTAATGTAATTGCATTTGATAGCTCATAACCCTGGCTCTGGCAACGACACAGCTTTCAGCCTCATAAAGTGTTTTCCCCTCGGATTTAATCTGAATCTCAATCTAAAATTATATTCAAAGAGATGGGGGAATCTCGCGGCCGTCTCCCGCTGCCTTTCTCCCTCAATGTATGAGGTTTGCACTCCTGCTACTGAATAAATGCACACATTTCCCGAGGCCCCCTCCCTCTCGGGTTAATGGGGGAGTGGAGACGCACTGCTGCCCGGCTCCGCAGCGCCACCTGGAGGCCTCTAGGTCCCAGCTCGGTGAGCGTCTCTCCTCGGATCCCAGGGTCGTGGTCTTCAATGTTTGTCAGGAGGATGCACCCCATGTATTACTCCCAGGCCCTCAGCCTTGATTTTTGTCTCCTCTTCGAGCAATATTTCTCTGATCACATCCTTTCCCTTCCTATCAGCTCTGCCCGGAGTTTCTGGTTGCTTCCCGGATTGTCTGGCAAAGTTAACCCTCTTCAGGGCACAAACAATCCTACCCTGAGTCTTACAGCACTACTCCTGACCCCAGCAGCATCCCCAAAAAGCATCCTAACTCCATGGGGTAGGAGAGCTTATCTCAATTTCTCTCGAAGTAAGCCCAGGCCTGGCCTTGAAAGCCTTTCTCATTCTACAAATATTTACTGAGCGTATATTATGTGCCAAGCACAGTTCTAAGGCACTGGGGATACAGCACTGAACAAAACAAAGATTCCTGCTACTATTAGGAAATTGACAATTCTTGCTCTGTAACTCATAAGGTAGGAAAAGAGACAGTGCCTATCTCTTGTCCTGGACCCTGCTTCTCCCCAGAATCCTGGGGCTGATGTTCTGGCTGCCTACCCTAGGAAAGCAACCTACTCACCTACTTTTTTCTTTTCTTTCTTTCTTCTTCTTCTTTTTTTTTTTTTTTAAGATGGCGTCTCGTTCTGTCGACCAGGCTGGAGTGCAGTGGTGTGATCTTGGCTGACTGCAACCTCCACCTCCCAGGTTCCAGTGATTCTTCTGCCTCAGTCTACCAAGTAGCTGGGATTACAGGCACACACCACCACGCCCAGCTAATTTTTGTATTTTTTTAGTAGAGACGGGGTTTCACCATGTTGGCCAGGCTGGTCTCGAACTCCTGACCTCATGATCCACCCACCTCGGCCTCCCACAGTGCTGGGACTACAGGCGTGAGCTGCTGTGCCTGGCCGGAAGGCTACCTACTTTTAAATCCCAAGTCTTTTTTCTTTGCCTAGACAGTACAGAGTTCCCGCGTGGGATAGAAATAATGATTTTTCTCCAGTTCAAGGAGGGGTCCAGACAGATGTGTTGGAGGTTGGTCCTGGCAATCACTTCTGAGGACTAGACCCAGGGAAAGGGAAAGGGGCTGAAGGGCCGCCAGCTGGGATTTTATCTCATCTCTGCCAATTACCAACAGTGGACCTTAGCAAGTCTCTTTCTTTATCTGGGCCTCAGTTTTCCTGGTTGTGAAGTGGGAGACCTACTCTTCCTGCATCTATGGTTGTTGTGGGGATCAGGTGAGCTAATGCATGTTAATATGCTTTGTAAACTGTGGCACTCCAGACAATGCAGGGGTTTGGGGGAGATTATCCAGTTTGAAGGAGACCTGGAGGCTAGGTCTTACCCCTTAAACCTGGGAGGCCCCAGTGCTTGACAGGGGTTGGGGGCAGGGGGCTGCAGCCATCTTCCTCTCTGCTAGGCATGGAAGTCAGGCTTTGAGAAAACAGAAAAGCACTGCTTCTAATGAGATGCCTCATCTGCAGCTCAGAGGGTTTCACTTTCCCCCTCATCTTGAATACTTAATCCTAATAGTCCTTGAGTATATTTGATGTTAAATATATCATTTTGCTCAGACTCAGCATGCCTCAGGACTGCGAGCTTGATCTCTCCCCTGCCACTGCCACCAGACCCATGCCCTCAGGGTCTGAGGGAGGCTTTGGCACTGCTGCCACTGGCATATTTGGTGCCAGCCCCTCACACCCGCCAGAGCTGGGGGCTAGACAGTGTAGCACGCACAGGGCCTTACAGGCTGGCAAGCAGCAGCTTCTTGCCGTAGAAACCTCTGTGCTACTAGAGGCATTCACTCCATCGGGGCTGCATGCAGCCTTACTACTGACCTCCAGGGGCGGCTTCTCCTCACTTTCAGGGACTGGCCCTGACCCACAAACCAGAACTGGGTTAGCTGTGGCCACCCTTCTACTCTCTTGTCCATGAGTTTGTCTGAATACCAGCTCACCTCAGCCTCCAAGGTACCTAATTGGCAGCCACATGGCTGGCATCTCTTTGGGGAGTCAGGGCCCTGTGTCCCAAACCCAGGGACCAGAGCTGGCCTGGGGTGCTCAGCAATGGGCTGCAGAAGCAGGTAGGGCATGCCAGCAGGGGACTGGTGCTGTGTGTGCCCACAAGTGGCTCTTTCTGCACCCCCAGTTGTGAGCATGGTACTCCTAAACTGATCTGGAGAGGAACCTTCACAGCAAGTCTTAGAGGGTTTGGGTGGCTTGACCTTCCAGCCAGGAAGGGGGTTTCTGGGTTGACAGAGGCAGATAGGAACATCACTCATCCCATCTGATGTCCTCTTTCCGCTCACGGGCAAGCAAGTAACTCCCACCCCCACACTCGCCCCACCCCCATGCTCACCCCACCCAAGCTGCTTCTAGGTCCAGGGACACACCCACACCACCAGAGTGGAATCCTCAGATCCCCTGGGGCTGCAGGAGGAGTTTTCACCCAACACATTCCACAGGTGATGAGCATGTACTCTCACTTCAACAAGCCAAGAGTGCTCCAAAATGCCCTTGAAATGCCTCTGGGGATGGCAGGGAGAGGACAGCTATCAATCCCCAAGGTTAGTTTGAGGAGAAAGCGGGTGCTACTGGCTGTCTTACAAATATCTGGGCAGGTCCCAGCAATTTGCCCCTCCACCTGGCAGGAAAGTCCTGAGGAAGAGTTCCTGCATTAGGAGTGGGACGCAGGGCTTGAGGGCCCAGGCAGACTAGATATTCCAGAACTCTTTGGTGGAGACTGTCAGATGTGCCTCAGCCAGAGGGCCTGCTCCCAACACAATGCAGCTGCCTCCAAGATGGAGTTACAGGCTAGCCACACAGGTGATGCTCAGAGAGGTACTGGGGTGATGAGGACCCCTTCTCTGTGGCCACCACAGTTGACAGGACAGAGTAAACCTACAGACTTCATAGTGCAATCAGGATGCCTGCTGGCCACGTTCAGGTGCCTCGCCCTTCCCCCTACTTACACAAAAGCAGCCAATGCTCAGGAATTTGCAACCCGCTGGAGTGAAGAGGTGCACAGTCGGCAAACTTTTCCTCTTTTGGTTTCTGGAGAGCCTGGACAGTTCTCCTTGTAAGCTGCAGTTATAAATTGTTAGGCCTTATGGAGGCCCAAGCCAAATCTGCACCATAGCAAAGAAATCTCCCCTACCCCTGCACCGCAGCCCTGAAAAGGTTGTGGGTGTGCACTGACCAACTGTCCAAGTTTGCCTCGTGACTCAAGGGTTTCCTAGGATGCAGAATGTTCAGTACTAAAATTGAGATCGCCCTGAGCAAACAAGGACAATTGATCACTATAGTGAGTGGTGGTAGGGTGGGTCAAGGGACTAGCCGGGCTGGAGAGGAAGGCCAGGCAGCAAGACCCTTTCCCTGCAGCCCAGAAGTTGCCTCTCAATCCCAAACCTCCCAGCTTCCTGCCCCAGCACTTCATCCTTCAGGCACTAAGGGATTGTCCCAGCCTCGGTGGCGGATGGTCTCTGGGTCAGCCAGAGCTGTGAGTTCTTCCAAGAGACTGGCAGTGGAAAGTGTAGGAGTTGGACCCAGGGATGGATGGAAATTTTGTGAGGTCCAAAGCTTACTGCAGTTTGGGCGTGGGGCTCTTTAAGAAAAGGACTACAAGCCTACTAATACCAAATTACTACCAAGGACCTGGCAGCTGAAGGAACCTGAAGGACCCTAAACTTCGCTAACTTCAAGGTAAAACCGCCTTTAGTTGGACCTGATATTTTGGACTAGATGGCCCACCCACCTACCCCAGCCAGCGTGGCACTTCCCAACATGCCAGGCTGGGTGAACTGATGGCAGCTCCCTCCCCAGCCCTGCCAGGGGCAGAGGCAATGTCACCCATGCCGAAGCTATGGAGTGCCAGACCGCAGGGACACTGCTGGTTTGACAGCACCCTCACCCCTGCACCTGCAGGATCTGTGGGCACCCCCACCCTCCCGCGGGGATCCGTTCCACAGTAGGGAGCGGAAGGGGAACGTGCAGACACCCAGAGAGGCTGGGAGACTGGTTGGCAGTGGGCACTGCCTGGAAGCCCGCGGTGCGGGTTGCAGAGGCGCTCCGGATGCCCGCAAGGCGGCAAGAGTCCGTGAGAAAGTTCCCGGCCGGAGCGCGCAGGGCCAGCGGCCTCGTTGGGACCGGGAGACTTCCTAATCCCGCCGACGAAGCTCGGGCGCTGAGCCTGGCACCGCCGAGCCTCTCACCGCCGACCCCGGCACCGGCGCACACATCCAGCCGCCGCGCTTCCGGGAAGGCACCCATTAGCCAGAGGCGGCCCCGGGTGCTGAGGGCGCTGCCACCGCTAGCAGGGTGGACTCCGCAGGGCCAGCGCCGCAGTCTCCGCCCCGCACCCCTAGCCCCGCGCGCCGGGCACCTACCGTCCTCCTGGTCCAACACCATGGTCCCGGAGGCTCCAGCCGGACTAGCGCCGAGGACACTGAGGGGCTAGCGGCTCCGACTCCCGCCGCCGGCCGCCTGCGCTGCTCCCGCCGGCCCAGCGCTGGTGCCAAGTCCCGAGAGCCGCGGCTGCCGACGGGGGCAGACCGACCGGAGTCCGGAGCGCAGCCCCGCGGGCAGGGAGCGCAGGAGGAGGGACTGGGGGGCCGGCGAGGGGGCGAGACGGCCAGGCCGGGATCGCGGGAGCCTAGCGAGCAGCCGCTGCCCGGGCCGGGCCGCAGCCGGAGCCTGAGCCGCGCGCGCGTCCTTCCTCGGTGCGGGCCGCGCTCGCCTCAGCCAAGTGAAGGCTGCATTTCCCAGGGCCCCTCAGATTCCCCTGTTAATTAAATCAATTCATTATGCTCAGATCTGATTAGCGGCCCTTCCCCCCCCCTTTGAATCAATTATTCAATACACAAACATAATTGCTTGGGCCAGAGGTGCCCGCCATTAGCTTATTTAACTCCAAGGACACTAATTACCCGCAGGGCACGGGAACTTTTCTCATTAATTCTGACAAAACACAAAAGCACAGCCAGAGTGTGTGCGTGTGAGGAGCTGTATGTGTGTGTGTGTGTGTTCGCATGCCAGAGTGAGGGCTGTGTGGGGTGGTGAGCCACTGTGTGAGCTCAAGACGAGGGTGGGGGTAGGACGATTGCGGGTATGTGTGTGCGGGTGGGAGTGTGGGCTCCGTGCCTGTGTTTCTGAACGAGTGCGCCAGGCTGGGCGTGACTCTGGGTCTGGGGACTGTGGACCCGGACTGGGACCCGGCACAGGAATGTGTAGGAGATCGCGAGAGTGCTTGTGTGTGTGACTTTGTGAATGTGACTCCGCGGCTACCGTGGCAGGCGCCCCATCCCCTTTTTTTTTTCATTATTGCCCAGCCATTCCCCGCGGCATGCTCAGCCCCACAGGGGAAAGTGCAGATCACAGAGGAGAAATCCGAGAGGATCAGGAGGCGGTGGTGACTCTGGACCCAGGCTGGGCCACAGTGTTCTCCACCCTGTCACCTGTTCAGGCTGGGCTTTGCTCTCCCTCAGTTATAAACCCCAGTTTCCCACCACCACCCCCCACTTTGCCCTCTCACTATCCCTCTCAACACCGCCCCCACTCTCAACTTTTATCCCCAAACCCTCCCCACCCCACCCTTGCACCCAGGAACCCCCAACTCCACCCACCCTAGACCTAATTCTTCACCTCCTGTCTCAAGGCTGTGCCCAGGGTGTGCCTATGGTTGATGAACTTCTCCACATTTTACCTCCCAGGAAATCTATTGAGAGAGCCAGTGAGAGAGCCCACAGAGGCAGGGACACAGAGGGTAATTGATTCCCCCAAATTAGGTTTCTGCTTTCTAAAGACCGGCATTGTTCCTATTCTCAATGTGCACAGAGGTATTGAAGATTTCCTTTTTGTTTCCTCAGGCAATGAATGAGCTTAATCCATTTGGCTTTATAAATCAGGAAACTAATATTCGCTCCTTCCATAGCAGCTTTTTAAAAATTTAATTGGTAAGGGAGGCGCAGTTAGTCACCCTTATACTGTCCCCAAGCCCCCACTTATCAAAGCACATTCTGATTGAGGGGTAGAGAGAAGGGAGGGAGCTCATCCTGATTCCTCCAGCTCTCTTCCATCCTCTCAAACAGACCGACTTAGTGTCTGGGAAAGTTTGTGAAATGACTGCACGAATTATATTTAATTTGGTGAAGAAGGGAGGAGCGCTCAGAGAGACTCTTCAGAATGATCTCCCAAATCAGCTGCTCTCAATTCCCCAGGAGTGACTGCCTAGATGGGTGCTGGCTGTTCCACGTACCAAGGCATCTGGTAGGGCCTGAAATTCTGTACCCCTTCACCCTCCAAGCCATGTAGCTGGCACGGACTGCACCCACCCAAAGAAGGCACCTTTTGCTACTTTGCACAAAGGCACCATACAGACTAGCAGGGCCCTGCAATTGGGTGTCTCTGCTTGGCCAGAGTTCACACTCAGAGAAGCCAGCCTGAGGTGTAAGCACCCAGACTCCCTGTTCCCACCATCACTTGCAGCAAGGGCCTATGTGAGCTCTTAAAAGACCAGCCTCCTGGTTTTCATAGAGAGAAAGAGAAAATTCAGAGAGTGTAAACATCATGAGGTGATCACGGATAATGAAGCAGATGCCCTGCCCTATCTCTGCATTTATATGGGGCCCCAGCTCTTGGTGAAAGACACTGAATTCAGTCCACAGCTGGGATTGAGACAGGGACAGATCTATCATGAAGACTGAGATCCTCAGTGGGGGCCATGCTGGCAGAGAGACAATGAGAGGAGATCCTCATGGGTGGACTAGACTGAGAAGCAAGGCCAGGAGTTTAAGGGAATAATAGTTCCAAGTATGGTGCAAGGTGGGGCCTAACTCACCCCTGATCAGCACTCTGAGAAGAAGAGGGCAGTGGTGCAAATGAGAAACTGGGTCACTAGGAGCCCTGCAGCTTGGCTATGGGAGGCCCTCTGAAACAGCTGGTCATTAGAAGCTGAGATGTCACCTTGCTGGGCCAAGAGGAAAAGAGCAGCTGGGATCAGCAACTTGGTGGCATTAACAGCAGCTCGGGCAAGATGGCAAGAGTATCAGGCAGCAGCTCTAATTATACAGACGGCATCTCTTCTCATAATCCATCATCCCCCATTTCCCAACCCTGGGATTGCTAGAGAGAAAATGAGTATCCAGAACTCAAAATCTAGTGGTGTCCAGAAGGCACTTGGGTCACACGGGTAAGCATTCCTAGGTCTCACAACTATTTGGAGAGGAAGGTCCTGGAGAGGAGAATTGGAACATCAGAATTTGGGGCTAATTATCGTAAAATCGTGGGATCTGGTATTCGGCATTTTTTTGCCTTTATGTTCCAACCTGTCTTAGCTGCATGACTGGCATGAAGGGAAAGGCTGTGTGAGCAAGAATGGATCAGAACAATAATAGGGGCGCTGTCCCTGGTGCAACCGCCAGCTTTTCCCAATGGCAGTGGAGGTCAGTATATCAGTATGTTACACTAAACATGAAGAGAGTGAATTTCCCTATCAAAAAACAGATTGTCTGAGTAAGTTATAAATAAAATACAGCCAAATGCTGTTTACAAGAAATACTCGCAAAACAAGGTGACAAAGAGACTGAAAATAAAGCAATGGGCAAAGAAAGATAGACCAAGAAAATGCAAGCAGAGAGGGAGTAGGAACAGCAATATTAATGTCAAACGAAGCCAACTTCAAAGCTAAAAGCATAAACTGCTTGAAAATTAAGAAACATCCTATTAAATTAGTACTGGATCAAAATAAGGTCAAAATAGAAATTACCAATCTAATTACCAATGAAAATAGAGAACACAGCATATCAGACAGAACTTACGGAACACGGCTGTGCTCAGAGGAAGAAATATAGCCTCATATGCTTGAAATATTTTTAAAAATGACTGGAAGCAAATGAACTAGATATTTAATCTAAGAAATTAGAAAAGAACAAACTGAACCAAAAAAGTAGAAGATTAATGAAGTCAGAAAATAATGAAATAGAAAATAAACAAGTAATAGAAAAGGAATTAAAAGGGAAAATTAGAACCAACACTTGATTATTTGAAAAGACTAACAAAATGGAAAAAAAAGTTCCATGAAAACCTAGTTAAGAAAATAAAGCACAAATATATGATATTAGATATAAGAAAAGAGATATATCACAGGTACAGAGAAGGTTAAAGAATTATAACAATAATATGAGTAAGCCTATGAAAATAAATGTGAAAACCTGGAAGAAATGGATGACTTCAAGCAAAGTAGAAAATTATCAAAACTGAGCATAGAAGGTGTTGAAATCTCAAATAGGCCAATGAACAGAATACATTTAAAAAGATATTAAAACTATGCTATTAAAATATCACAAGGCACCATATGCTCCAACAATTCTACTTCTGGAAATATACCCAAAAGAATTGAAAACAGATTCTCAAAGAGATATTTGTACATCCATGTCCATAGCAGCATTATTCACAATAATCAAAAGGTGGAAGCAACCCAAGTGTTCCCCAATGGGTGAACAGATAAACAAAATGTGATAGATACACACAGAAGAATATTGTTCATCCTTTCAAAGGAAGGAATTTCTGACACATGCTACAACATGGATGAACCTTGAGAACGTTATACCAAGTGAAATAAGCCAGTCCACAAAAAGACAAATATTGTTTGACTTCATTTATATGAAGTACCTAGAGTAGTCAAATTCATAGAGACAAAAAGTAGAATGGTGGTTGGCAGGGGTTCAGCAGAGGGGAGAATGGGGAATTTAATGGGGATAGCATTTTCAGATTTGCAAGATAAAGAGTTCTGGAGATTGGTTACCCAAAAATGTGAATGTGCTTAACACTGCTAAACTGTATACTTAAAAATGGTAAGGATGGTGAATTTTATGTTATGTGTATTTTATCACAATTAAAATAAAACCCCACAAGGCACAGATTACATTAAAATGAGTTTTATATAACCTGAAAAACAGATGATTTTAATGTTATTTAAACTATTCCAGACAAGAGAAAAACTTGGAAATCTTCCTAGTTTGTTTTATGAGCCAGCATTTTCTTATTCCCAGACCTTATAAAGATTGAATTTTAAAAGAAAAAAAATTCATAGAACAGCTTGAATAAGACTGCAAAATCTGAAATAAGATATTAGCTATCTTGACATGAAAAAAGTATCAAAAGAATAATACACCATGACAAAGGAGGATTTATTTTAACACCACAAACATGATTCAGCATCAGGAACTCTATCAGTATGAGTCACTACATCAACAAATAAAGGAACAAAATATGATTATAGTAATATATGTCCAAAATCATTTGATAAAATTTAGCATATATTACTAATAAAATATGAAGCAAAATAGAAATAGAAGAAAACTAGTTCAATTTGTTAAGACTGTTTACCAAAACCCAATAGAAGATAAATAAACGTGACATTCTGAAGCTATTTCCGTAAACTGGAACTAAGACAGAATGTCCATTATTATCATTATTATTCAACATTTTTTGAGACTTTAACTCAATAAGACAAGAAAATGAACTGCTCAAAATAAACAGCTGTTTTTTGAAAGGACAAAAATATGTTTATTTACAAATTATGCAATTATTAACCAAAAATCCAATAAAATTTAGTTTGAAAGTTACTAAAATTATTAGATAATTGAGAAGGTAGCTAAATACAAGATAAATAGATAG